AATTTAACTATATTTTAATACTATTAAAAACATACAGTAAACTTTGGGCGAATCTATAATTCTCTGCACAGAGGGTTTCATACACCATAAAGAGTATACAAATATATTTATTTTGATTTTGATTTTGATAGGTCTTTTCGCATAGTTGCTATATGCTATAGTCATCCGACATCGTCGGTTGCTACCACTGTTTCTTTTGTGTGTTACATAATTCGTAGCCAGCTAAACATATCCCGTTCAGAGTATAATTAATAATTATTCAAATAACAATTTTCGTTCATTATCGCTTTTCATGAATACATTTCTATTATTATTAATTGAAATATTTTACATTTTTCTCCCAATTTTCATAAAAGCTAAGTTCCTTGACTCATATAATACTACTAAACGCCTGAATGTATGCAATATTTTATTTACTTTTATTATATTTTTGTTATTGTAAATAACTTCGCAAGGTTAAGAGCACATTTCGATTTGTTAAAGTGCTAAAAGCGATAAACGATAAGAAAATCAGGTCAATTGGCGGTAGAAACAGAATTATTTGAATAATTTATTGTGGAGAGTTTCGCTCCAGTTTGTGCCTTTCTCTCTATACCTCTACATATATATAATGGAAAATTAAAAACTAAATGTTTTAGTAGATTTATACATATAAAAAATAAAAATTTAAATTCATGTTGCAGCACGTTTTAAATAGCCCCAATACAGCTATGTAGCATACATATGTATGTGTATACATGTGTTCCGCTTAATTTATGCACGCATATGGAACATGTGCACGCTGACTCCCGCTCTGTGCGCTGGCAAACACATGTATAAAGCAGAAATATGGTATAACTATACCATAAACAGCATATACATACATATGGATAGCTTTTTTTTTCCTAGGGAGCTGTTTATTTGTCGAAGGTACCGACTTGGATCACTATAAACTCACCGATCAAAGTCAAGTTATTGTAATGAAAACTCTTTTCTTTATCATGATATCTTCACGAAATTTGGCACAGATTATTTCCTAAAGTAACGCTATATTTTGCATACAAATCATTTAGATGGGGCTCTTATAGTATAAAGCTACCATATAAACAGATCCATCAAAATTAAGTTCTTGTATGGATAACTTTTTCATTTGAAGAGATATCTTCTTTAATTTTGTCATGGATTATTTGTCAAGGCAATACTACAATCTGCGAAGAAATTGTGTAAATCTGATCACTATAGCATATGGCTGCCATATAAACAGAACGTTCAAAATCCAGTCTTTGTATAGAAAAATTTTTTATTTGACAAGATGACATCACGAAACTCGGCATGGCTTATTTTCTGAAGCAGTACTACAATCTCCTATCAAATTGTTCAAATCGGATCACTATATTATATAGCTGTCATACAAACTGATCATTTAAAACCCAGTCCTTGTATGGAAAACTTTTTCATTTGAGGAGAAATCTACACCAAATTTGGCGTAGCCGATTGTCAAACATAATTCTACAATCTCCTATCAAATTGTTCAAATTGGATCACTATAGCATATAGCTGTCATACAAACTGAGCGCTCAAAGTCAAGTTAAAGATATTTTATACCCTTTTGTGCTATAAAAAGTGCAACTGTGTAGGGTATTAAAGCTTCGGTTAACGTTTTTTGCTTTACAAAAGTTGATATTCCAAATAATTTACAGTTAGTACAAGTGTGTGTGTGTATGTAAACGAATGATTATCTGTTTCCACTGATATGCTCGTGTATGTGTGTGCGTGTGTTGATTTCCGCCCCTCGGTTTGACCGTTTTTGCCATTGCGATTACTGTATTTCTATTTCTGTGTCTATTTATGTTGCTATTTCCATTTTCATTTCCATTACTTGGTACATGCCATTTTTGTCGCTTTTTATGTTATGTGAAAACATGTGTATATATGTACATATATATACGTATTATTTTATGTATTTTCATCGATTAGGAATTTATGACTGCATAAATATGAAATTTTGCATGTAACAGCAAAGCTGAACGCCTAGATCCAAGCTCCAAGTATCTGTGTATTCATATGTAATACTATGCATGTACATATGTATGGGTTAGTTAGTTTGAGTATGCGCGCTATTAAACTAGTGTATTAAATTCTTATCACAAAGTACAAAATTGTTTCACAGCATGCGAGCTTTTCAAAAGCTGCTGCTGTTGCTGTGACCATAATGTAAATATGTGTGTTTATTTGTATATAATTTATGTACATATATATAATAATATGAGTGGTTTTGCTGTTGCAAAAGGCTAAGTAAATAGCTGTATTGGCACACTCATACATACGCAAATGCGTATTTATATATTTGCCTAGCGTTTTTTTGACCCATCGACGAGTGCATGCTGACACACACACATTCAAGCAAATATTTATTTGCATGTTGTATGATATATAAATATGTTTGTGAATTTCACATATTTCTCATAAATCCTGCGGCTCACACCGCTGCTACGCTTCAAATTCGCAACATTGCAATATTTGCGCAAGCGAGATTAAAATTCTGAGAACTGAAATGTAAATAGGGGAATTAAATATCTCCATCTGTTGTTTATCTGCCTTTGACATTCGTCATAATTTAACGCGAATATTTGCTGAAGTTTCACATTCTTATATTTGGCACTTTTTACTTAACATTTGYTGTTAATATGCAAGGCAGCACAAGACTGAATGCCGAAATAATGACTCATTTACGCGGAAAATTGCTGGCCATAAATGTATGTGGGCTGTTATRTATATATGTATGTATATATGTATGTATGTATATATGTGCATGTAAGAATTTTTACAAGCGTCCTTGTGTGTCTCTCACTTAATGAAACGTTTGCTTGTTAGGTTAGGTTCGGCATCGAAAGGATTTTGGTTTTTACATTTTTTATACCCCGAACAAGATCTTTCAGTATGACAGTGTGAGATATCGCACTGAAACTTTGCATAAATCCTTTTCTCCCCAAGAGCCTGCTCATTTGTCGGAATCATCGATATCGGACCACTATAACGTATAGCTGCCATACAAAGTGTTGGTTCAAACTTAAGTCCTCGTATGAAAAACGTTTTTATTCGACAAGATATATTCACCATTGGTATAGATTATTGTCTAAAGAAGATATATAACCTATAAACAAATTTTCCAGATCGGATCACTATAGCATATAGCTGCTATACAAACTGACATATCAAAATTCAGTTTTTGTATGGAAAACTTGTTTATTTGTCAAAATTTCTTCTCGAAATTCGGCATATATGAATGTCTAAAGTAGCTCTATAACCTCTGGAGAAATRGTTCAGATCGGACCACTATAGCATTTAGCTGCCATAGAAACTGACTTATCAAAATCAAGTTCTTGTAAGGAAAACTTTTTTATTTGGCAAAATACCTTTCCCAAAATTTGGCATAGAGGTTTGCGTAAATCAGTGCTACAATTTTCGAACGAATTGTTCAGATCGGCCAATTAAAGCGTATAGCTCCCATACAAAGTGATCGTTCAAACTCAAGTCCTCGTATGAAAGAATTTTT